TCCAGTTTTCAATGAAAATCAGACAAAAATGGCATGGGTCGCTCAAAGAGTCGCACAATTTTATTGTTATTATTTATTTAATTCCTGAGGCTTAAATACAACCAGGGAGTCTGTATCAGCTGTTTTGACCTCTGGGCCTGTTCACATCTCTAATATTTAACTCTTAAACATGGCATTTCTCTAGGGTTTCACAAATCCTTTGCTTACAAAGCTTAGAAACTCATCTGGGATGGATGGTCAATTACCACAGCAAGCATGTGTCTTAAGCACAGACCAGGCAGAGGGGTAGAGAGTGCCCCAGAAGGTCATTAATGTTCATAAAACATAACAGGACATGTGAGCACTTAGAGAATTGAACATCATCTTGCTGCTCTAGTTTGACTTTTTTCCAGTGGGAAAGAAAATATTCCCTCAGTACCTAATGAGAGCCTGCCTGCATGGTATTATATGAACTTAAATAGATCAGTGTATTCAGAATGAATCTTCTGTTTAATATTAAACTTGATTTATTTAATTGCTATTTTGGATATCTCCTTTTACCTAGTTACAAAGAAGAGACGAATAATAAAAGCTCTTTTCTTGACTTAATCTCCCCTTTTAGCTACTACCCCAATTCTTAGCTCTTTAATTCTATTCTCTCTTAAATCCATTAACTTTTGCCCAATAGCATTCCATTAAAACATTTCCAAGATCAGCAGTGACCATGTTATTGTTCAACCCAGGGGTCACTCTCAAGTCCTCATTGGGCCTGGCCCATCAGTAGCACTTAATAGAGCTGATCACTCACATTATTTGAACACTTTTTAAATTTGTATTTCCAGTACATCCACTTGTCTATTGTTATTATTTTTTCAATTTTCTGACTACTGTTATTTAGTCATCTTAAAAACTCTAAATATCTGAGCATACCAGTATTCATTCCTTGATTACTTTTTCCTCTCTAGTCATACACAGTTCTCTTGTAATCTTATCCACTCTCATTGATGCATTTGTATGATATAATTTCCCAAATTTGTATTTCCAGCCCAGACTCCAAGTTTGAAATTCAAGTTCATACATCCAGATTTCTACCAGACATTTAGGCTTTTGGCTTTTAATAGCTTGTTGGGAAAGTCACGATGTATTTTTCTATGCAAAAATACATCGTGACTTTCCTGATGACCCAATATTTTGACTTGTAAAGGAATCATTGCAGGTTCTGAGTGGAGAAATTACATGATCTGGATTACTTTCTAACAAGACCACTCTGTCTGCTGTGTTAGGAGATGAAGGGATGAGAGCAGAAGCAGGAAGACCAGTTAGGCGGCTGTTACAGTCATGTGGTTGAGGCAGGAAAACGACTTTAACTAGGGTGGTGACAGTGGAGATGGTGAAAGTGGTCCGATTCTGGGCCAGCCTGTGCCATGGTGGTTAAGGCACTGGACTCCCAAATGGCCAGCTATGGTTTGAGTCCCAGACCCAGTGGCTTTTAGAGTCAATGGGATTTCTTACATAGATTGCATATGGAATATGAAAGACCAGTCAAGGTTGACTCCCTAGTTGTTGGTCTGAGCAACTAGCTTCATTGACTGAGCTAAGAGAAAGGTGGGAAGCTTGCTCTGGCAGAAATGTGTAGAACTGTGCTTTGGACATGTTGTTTTGAGGTTGCACTTAGTAAGCTTTCACCAAATGAATATTTGATGAGTGGCGTCTTGACCTTGCCTTTCATTACCAGTTATTGTTATATCTAGAGCACTTTATGATCCACATCTGATTGACTTTGGGTTTACGACTGGTAGTTGCTTGGACTGTGTCAGGGCAAAATAGATCAAGGGTTAAATTATCCCACATACAGATATAAACACTTTGTTGCTATTCATGAGCCCCAACCCTGGCTTCCTTCCCTCACCTCTGCCACCTGAGTTTTTCCAATGTTTTAAAAGAAAAACTAACTTGCCTTACAAAGTGATCCCTTTTTGAAGGTAGTGAGATTTCTGCTATATATGTTTTTTCAGTCAGTTCCCAAACTGCCCTCTCATCTACGCTCTGCTTTACGTTTACAACTCTTCATTATTGATATCACTTCCATGTTATCTTTGCCATTGTGATTTGTATTTTTATAACCGTGAGCTGTCATTTTAGTGTGTGTTTGTTTTTTTCTTGAAGGACTTGAGATAAATATACACATTTAATTCAAGGCAATTAAAATTCTACTTACCTACTGTTCTAGGATCTTTCTATTTGCTGTTAAATATTTTTTCCTCATTCAAATGTATAAATAAATGCTTTTTTAAAAAATAAACAACTAAATAGTGAAATTGCATCTTTGTCCAACTGTTGACTGTCATAACGTAGTATTAACTGGGATGGATTATGTACTCGTAGCTCACCCTCTCCTCTCATACTTTTAGAAAAACTCTTATTTGTGAAATTACATGAGCTTCTAACATTGTCTCTGGGACATTTACAATAGAACACTTAATAAGTGTGTGTTGAGCATGTGAATAAATTATGGAAGAATTGTCCTCCTTCAATGTTCTTAATTGTCAGGTTAATTCTCCAATATTTTATTTAACTAATACTTATTTTGTCCAACTGATACTTATTTACTCAACTGATACACTGTATGTTTACACATAAAATATATAATAATAATTTGAAATAGTTCTTGATCTCAGGATACTGACAGTCTAGTAATACAAAACACAATATACAAAAATAAAGAGGTAGAGTAATAAGATGCATTAAAGTCATAGAAATAATTTGAGGGGCAGAGAAGTGAAGAATTTCCTTGGCAGGGAAATCAGGATATCGTCATGAAATAGTAGCTTTCAGGATAAGCCTTGAAGTTGCTAGGGGCCTACATGAGAAATGTAAATGAAGTCACTCTAAATGAGTAGACTAGTAAGTGGGAAGATGAAGGACAGGAAAATATATCAGTTGGTAAATGTTAGTTTGTTGGACTAGAGCGGATGAAGAGGAAATATGGAATATGAAACTGTAAAGAATTTGGAACAGATGGGTTGGCCATAAGCCATAGGAAAAAAGAAAAATATTTTTTCCTCCATAGGGAGGACAAAAATTAATCGATAGGAGATTGCTGTGATCAGCTGTTTTCTTTGGGAAAGCTAATTTGAAAGATCTTGAAAATTAACTGAACAGTGGCAACAAGAGAAATAAGTGAAATTACTTTGAAATTTGAGGTGATGTGCTGAAAAGGATGTAGCTTCCATTTCCAGATACAGGAAAGTCAGAAGGAAAAGATAATTTGCAAAGTAATATAACAGCAATTTTAGGTATATTAAATTTAGAGTGAATTTCAGTTAGAAATGTCTTGCAGACAGTAGAAAGTGTGGAACTAGAACTTGAGAAGAAAGAGTTAAAAAAAAAAAAGACCTTACAGAATGATAGAATAGTATTATATACCATGATCATTTTCTGAGGTTCAATAAATTTAATGGCATTAAAAATTTAGATGTTACTATTTGGAATCATCTTCATTTATTGTTTTACTACTTAGAATCATTTAAATTCATTATTATAAGGCTTTTAATTTGAAAACAAACAAAAAAATTGCAGCTTTTAAATTTTCTCTTCTGTGTTGAATAATCCTTGTGTGGTGACATCATTTTTACCTTTAGTTCCCAAACATAAGATGAGTAGTTACACAATATCTTTTTATGTTTTTCTGGGTCTGTTATAAAATCATTAGTCATTGTGCACAATAAAAATCCAGTGTTATACTAGAAGGAAAACATATTTTCTTCAAGATATCAAAGTACACATTCCTCTATAGAGGTTCTTTGTTACAGTTGAATTCTGTTACTTCCTGGGGTTATTTAATCCTTAAAGTTGGTGATATGTATTCTAGCATTTATATGAAAACCAACATGAGTCTAATTCCATTATCTACGTCTAAGAAACTAAACTAAGGCTCAGCAACATATTAATGTTTACATTTGGATTAAACTTTTAACTTATTTTATAATTGTGAACATAGCAAAGGCTTATACATTTTAAAAAAACATGTGCATGAAATAATTCAGAGAATTCCTATATTTTTTCTGTCTTTAATTTTTCCAGGAGTTAATTCTTAGTAGCATTTATGTAGCCTCTTCAACTGTTATTATACATAGATAAAAGCATTTTTGTCTTTCAATTAATTAATTAATTAATTAGTTTTAAGGTCTTTGCCGTGGCCCCTGTGCTTGCTAGAGAGAGAGAGAGGGAAACAGTAAGAAAGAAAGTGAGAAACAACCTCCACTCTGCCGGAGGGGATAGCCACACCATAGTCTCTGCTCCTCCATTGTTCTCTTGCTTGCAGGCATCTGTGGCTGGTGTGATTTTCAAGCTGCCAGGTCTGGGACTCAAACCATGGTTGGCCGTGTGAGAGTCTAGTGCCTTAATACACCATTACCTGGCCCCAATGTCTTTTTAATGTGAGCTTAACCACATTTTTTTAGATTTCCTTAATAAGGGACCATAGGCTTTTTTTTTTTTTTTAACCTCCTTTCCAGTAGTTTATTCCTTTCTCCAAGTATCCTCACTGGTTCAGTTAAGAATTCATCTGAGAATTAAAGAATATAATTGTTGGACTGAAATCCCCAGAATATTTTTAGGTTATGAAATATATCTGAAGGGAAAAGGAAATAAAAATCATTATTCATAATTTTTTGTGTGTATGTTTAAGAACTGGCTTTTTAAATATATTTTAACTCAGGCTCTATTTTAACAAGAACTATAGTTAAATGCAATATACTAGCAATTTTAGATATTATTGTTCTGTATAAATATTTATGGATTGTAAGAGAAATGTAAATTGTTTTATTGACTGATACTGCTTTTTTTTTCTTTCACTAATAAGAATGCATATATATTTTTAGCCTGTTTTTCCCATTATCTATTGATTTTGAGAACTTGGTATGTATGAGAATAAAAGTTGTAACTTAATCATAGTTACATATTACATAATTATTTATCAGAATTGATTCTAGCTCTATTTTTTTTTTCTTCCTTTTTAGTGTCCTACTGAAACAAAGGCAACATTTGGAGTTCATCTTAAAATAGTAGGAGACTGGACAGGTATGTTGAACATGAAGTTTTAAGATACAAGCTTTGGAAATAATGGGGCATAGCAATTGTAAATGTGTTTAAGTATTCTTAACTATCAGCTTATGTAGAAATGTGTATATGTTTCAGACTGTCCTGTTTTCTTTCTTTGCTTATACGATTTTAACATCTGTGTTTTCTTTTTGTAAGATGCATTTTTTGACTCAAAATACCTTGTAAATCAGTAATTATTAATAGTGAATTGTCCATTGTGCTTCTAAATCATAGTTTCTGCCTTGTTAGTTGTACTGATAATAGTAGGAAGACTGAAGCGTGTTTCTTAAAGTTATGAAAACATGATTTTAAGCTAGGTGATTGGTTTGACTTTTAAGAGAAACATGTGTCACTGTGAGATCACGCAGCTCATTCAGTCCTGGCATGACCTTTGTGTGGTCTATCTGTGTATATACAGTAACTCCAAGCATCTCTGGAATTCTGTCCCTTTTATAGCAGGTCTGTTGGGTAGGTGATATTTCATTTATCTATTCAACATGTTTTTAGTTATCTGAGAGATACATGTATTAAGAGTTCTGAGTGCCGCTGGCTGGCAGGTAACATGGTAGTGGAGGCACTGGACTCCCACATGGTGGTTGTGGTTCCAGTTCCACACCTGGCGTCTTGCTTTCTCATTCCCCCCTCCTCCCATCTCTCTCTGATTAAAAAGGAAATAATGATAATAATAAAGGGATGAGGAGAAGCCCAGTTGATATAGGGAGCTTATATCATATAGTTAAAAAGTAAGAGTAGTATATATAAAACCCTCTGTCTCCTATGTCTTTAGAGAGGGCTACCAGCTTGAAATTGGAGACTTGGAAAAAAAATGGATAAAATATGCAACATAGGATATTATGGCAAACAGTTAAATGAACCAAAAGATGTTTGAGCAGTAATAGCCTATTTAGAATGATGGGAAACTAGGCTTAAATAAACAATATCCATCTGGTAGCTTAAAAAAAAAAGTTGGGTAGTCTAATGTCTGATAAAATACTGGTGTAATATGAAAATGTTCATTCTCACAGTATAATCACAATTGCTTTGCATTTCAAAACAATGGAAAAATAACGAAGGAGAAAAGTAAGATTTTCTGGTAAGATTCTCAACATAGTAGGAATTAAGTTCAGTGATGAATGACAATTGACAGAATTTTATAGTTTTCTTTCTTTCCCTTTTTTTTTTTTTTTAAAGTTTTTGCCATAGGACACATGCACTTGCCAGACAGAGACAAAGAGAGAGGAATCCTCCTGGGATTTTGGGCAACAAGCACACATGCCCGGCATGATTTTCAAGCCACCAGGTTAGGGACTCAAACTGCAGTAAGCCATGTGGGAATCCAGTGCCTCAACCATCATGCCACCCGCTGGCCACAGTAATTGATATAATTTTATATCTGAAGGAAAACTAACATAATGAAGACATTCATAAAGTTAAGCAGAAAACTTTGTGACAATTTATTACTGGCTATTGTTACTCAATTTCTTAACAAAGTTATTTTATATCACTAGTGGTTCATTAAAATAAATGACTATCTTAGGAATTATTTGAATCATCTCTGTTAGGAACACTTAATAGTGTTAACATTATCCTTCTTTTTTTATGTACTATGCCATTGAGAGAAACAAGATCATTCTATTCAAAGAGTTCAGTTCCAGTTAGATGCTTTTCAATTAATAGATCCTCTTTATTGTTGACTTGAAATATTTGTTGACTTGGAAAAAATGCCAAGCATTCATGCAGAGAACCCCTAAATAATTCTGCCACTATCTGACACTTCAGTTCAAAAAGAGACTTAACTGCCTTAACACAATGGGATTACAATTATTGAAGTAAAAATAGGAACATTATCCTGGAAATCAAGGATCACTGGTTTTTAATTCTAAAAAAAATGATTTAAACTTAGTATTAAAAGTAAGATGCACAGGAAATATCAAAGAGGTGCTTAAATGGTTGAATATCAAAAGTTTTTTTTTTTTTTTTAAACTGACTTAGAGAAATTGAATAGTGTCTTCTCTTTTGAAATATGACCTGCATTGGAGGTGTACTGGTTGTAAAGAACAGATTTAAGATGGCTCCATAAATGATTTTTCAAGACTAATCATCTATACCCAGCTGAACAGTGCCTGAGAAGCAACTGAAGCAGTTCTATATAGCACAGGACAAGGAAGCATCAAAACCTCATATTTGCTGTCTAGATTTTTATTTTCACCAGGCCTCTAGTTGTTTTCCTAAATGTGCAGAAGACCTATTGAGTTTGGAAGGCTTTTAAAGCCCCTTAAACATAATTCAGGGTTTTCCTTAAAGTGTTGGTGGTAGAGGGGATGGAATGGATTATGCAAGAATTTTTCTTTTAATTTAATTAATATTTTGTTACTCTTCTAGAATAAATCATGCTTTCTAATTTCAAACATGTGATCCAGGATTGCCTATTGGCTTGATTATCATTCTAAAATTTCTTTTTTTTTTGGAGAGATTTTCACTGTAGGGCGCGTGCGCTCGCCAGACAGACAGAGACATAAAGACAGAAAGTGAGAAATCACCCCCCAGGGGGGATGGTCACGCCGCAATCCCTTCTCCTCCATTCTCCTCTCGGGATCTTGGGCGCGCACGCACACGCACCCGGCGTGAGTTTTTTAAGCCACCGGGTCCAGGACACGAACCGCAGTCGACTATGTGGGAGTCCAGCGACATAGCCATTACGCTAACTGCTGGTTCCCTCTAAAATTTCTTTTTAATTTCTTTATTATGTATGATTACTATAGCATAATGTCTGAGATAATGTTATATCCTTGGTTATTTCAGTAGTCTGAATAGCAGCTAGGGAGGTTTGAGTTTTACTACAAAATTATTATACACATAATATTCACATAGTCCATCTAATATTATTGCCCTTTAGCCACTGAATAATGAATGAATTGGCAATAGATTTCCAATAGGTGTGGTTGCATAGCCAATTTTATATATGAATCTGGACCAGAGAGCTAAATTTAGAATCATTAATGTATTTAAAGTCTCAAAGCTGGATGGGTTTACTTACACCAGTGATTTTCAACCATGTCAGCCCTGACATCTTGTTTTAAAACATTTTAAATTCCCATTGCACAGTCTTATAATAGAATTATAGACATTATACACACATTTTATTATTATAATTATTATTTTAATTGAAATCTAATAATTATACATGTTACTGGGTACAGTGCAATTTTTCAGCATATGAATACAATGTATAGTTATATGGAATATCCCAAGAATAAGACTGCTAGATCACATGGCAGTTCTATTTTCATCAATAGTTTTCTGAGGGACACTTATGCTGTTTTTCACAACTGTACTAATTTACATTTCTACTAGCTACAAAGAATAGTTCCTTTTTCTCCATCTCCTCATTGGCATTTGTTATTATTGCCTTTTTTACTGTATTATATGTAGTAATCACACATATTTGTAGAGTGCAATGTGAATTTTTAGTATAAGAATACAATATATAATGATTAAATAAAGGTAAATATTAATGGTACATCTATCATCTCAACCATTTGTTGTAACTTTGTGTTGGGAACATTTGAAATCCTCTTTTTTTTTTTAGTTGCTCTGGGTTATACAGTAAATTATTTCTAACTGTATCACCCTACTAAACAGTACAAATTAGTTTTATTCCACTGGCTCCTTGGCCTGGTGGTTAAGGCAGCTGAATCTCAACTGTCCAAATGCATGGTTTGAGTCCTAGACTTGGCAGATTGAGAAGTACTCCAGGCATATGAGTGCCTAAAATCCTGACGAGAAATGGAGGAGAAAGGATTGTTGGTGTGACCATTCCTCTTTCAAGATGCTTTCTCCTCTCTCTTTCTCTTAAGAAAGGATGAAAGAAAGAAAAAAAAAATAAAACAAGAAAGAGTTTCTTTATCTATCTGTAATTTTGTTTCCATTCATCCAGGTTACTTTATCTCCCATCTCCTCTCTGTCTTTAGCAGTTTTAATAGACATTCTTCAACTCTGCTTCTATGGTAGCTATTCTAACTGGGGTAGGATGCTTTCCCTTGTGATTTAAATTTGTCTTATTTCTAACAGAATAAGACAGCCATAAAGTAGGGCTTGTTTATATAGCCATCATTTCTTTTTAGACGTGGCTATTAAACATTTGCTAAAATACCATTAGATAAATTCTAAAAAGTTCATATGAAAAGTGGAGTCTATAAATAGATCAACAGCTGAAGGGAGGTTGTAAGGACAAAGAAGATATAAGTTAAGGGAATGTATTATTATATTAAAATAATTATATGATAATATATATGTACTTATGAGAATGATATGAATGAATGAAGTAGAGAAGACAAAGTTCATATTTCCGGAGAACTAATGGGTCTAGTTACAAGACAAAGTCCATGAGTGATTCCTAATGGGTTCCAGAGGTACTGAATTCTGATGTACAAGTGGAAGAGTTGATCTTAGAAGAGGCAGCCTGGGCAATCCATACTTTATAACAGGAGGAAGGCATAGAAGACGGTTATAGAAGCTGGCTGGGAAACCAGCAGTTAGCATAATGGCTATGTTGCTGGACTCCCATGTAGTCGACCACGGTTCAAGTCCCGGATCCGGTGGCTTAAAACTCACACCTGGCGCGTGTGCGTGCATGCCCAAGATCCCGAGAGGAGAATGGAGGAGAAGGGATTGTGATGTGGCCATCCCCCCGGGGGGGGGTGATTTCTCGCTTTCTGTCTCTATGTCTCTCTCTGTCTGTCTGGCAAGCGCACGTGCCCTATAGCGAAAAACCTCTCCAAAAAAAAAAAAAAAGAAAAAAAGATGATTTTGGCTGCAGGTTGGTTGATGGATTTAGAATGAGAGAAATAGGACTTTTCTTCTGGTTCCTTCTGTTTTCCCACTGAAATATATACAATAAAATTATCACTAAGTTTTGGATGGAGGAAAGTGTATTTGAATTTTGAGGAGAAATAAGAAGGCATAATGTTAATTTGAAA